GTTCGACCAGAGCGTTGTGGAGAGGGTGAGAGCCATGCTGAAGTATCGCCCGCACCTTTGACAGCATCCTCCTGTCTGACACTGCTGTCAAAGGGTCCAGCTCCACCCCCACAACGTCACTGGCCTTTCTGATCAGCTTGTTGAGTCTGTTGGCATCGGCTACTCTCAGTCTGCTGCCCCAGCTCACCACAGCAAACAGAATAGCACTGGCCTCCACAGACTCATAAAACATCCTCAGCATAGTCCGGCAGATGTTAAAGGAGCGGAGCCTCCTCAGAAAATAGAGGCGGCTCTGTCCATTCTTGTAAAGGACTTCAGTGTTCTTAGTCCAGTCCAGTTTATTGTCAATGAACACACCCAGATACTTGAAAGTACTACTGCAGTACAAATTTGTGGTTCTTTTACTTCACTCGAGAATTTCTAAAAAAGTGTATGAGAGTGAGGCAGAGTGGATTAGGACTGGGTATCACCACTGATTTCCTGAATCAATTCAATTTCGATTCAAGGGGTCTCGATCCAATATCAATTTGACTCGAGATTTTTCAGTTACAAGACCAGTCCCTCCAGGATCTTGCGACAGAAAAACCTTGAATTTGGGGCCAATTTTGTCAAAAATTGCGATGACATTGCAGCAAATAACAAAAATTGCAAGTCAAGAGAAAGAAGAATTTAAAAAAAAATTTAAATTACTGCCTCCAAAAAATAAGTCATGTAATCACTTACTATAATAATCATACTGAATATTACAAAAACAGCTGCAAATGTTTCAGGTCTCTTGTTTAGTTTTATTTAATTAGTTTCAAAACATGGACTCCAATAAAGTTGCAAAAAATTCTGAGAATATTGTAGCCCTCAAACCCGACAGTGTGACTGTAAAACAACATGTAAGCTACATCTTCTGTAAACATAACATTTCAATAAATTCAACACATATTGTCTGCATTTAAACAGTGCAAATTCTTATGTCCATACAGAGAGTTTCTCCATACTGCAATGCTATTAG